AAAACTCTAGCTACAACAGGGTTTCACTATATAGGCTAGAAGGGCTTAGAATTTGCTATGAAGCTTGGCTGGCCTTAAACTCCCAAGAGTCCTGCCCCAGCCTTCCCAGTACTAGGATTACAAGTGTGTACTATCGCTCTCTGCTTGGCAGACACTCGAGAGCTCTGCCATCCATCTCCAGCGTTCCCACGGTCCAGCTGAGACAGGTGACCCGTGGTGCTGTTGCTGTTTCCTTGACTGATGCGCTTTCCTGAGTCACTACTGACTTAGATCTGATCCTACTTCCGGAGAGTCTTCTGCTTAGAGTACTGAAGTGGGTGAAGCCAGCTGCCTGCCACGATGGAGGGCACCCTTTCCTATTGCTCACACTGAACTAGAGTTCTTTCTTCTTCAGTGAGTACTTTCCTTCTGCAAGTCAAAACTACATGGAAAGCTATGATTTCAACAAGCAGATGAAGAAATCCCAATTCCTTACCAAGATTGTCCACGGCGTAATGATAAAAGCAACTGAACTTGATATGCTTATTGCAGATGATGTCAGGGTTGGGCGTCCTTCCTTTCTCATACTCATTCAAAAAGTCACTGGAACAAAGGAAAACACCCTCAGATCTAAGTGATACAACCCTTAAAAAACCAATTAGTCAAGCTGCTTATTTAATGTGGAATTTCACTTTATTGTCCCCAAACTGTACTCGCCTCCCACGAGAACTTCGTTATCAAACCATATTATCATCCTACTATGTCAAGCGGCTTCTCAAAACTCACATGTCTGAATGAGAACAGCCCCATTGGCTCAGATGTTTGAATACTTGGTCCCCAGTTGGTGGTGCTGTTTGGGCAGGCTTAGGAGGTGTAACCCCGATGGAGGAAGTGTGTCACTGGGGGGCGGGCCTTGAGGTTTTAAAAGCCATGTGCCATTCCCAGGTCACTCTCTCTGCTGCTGTTCCTGCTGCCATGTCTGCTGCCTGCTGCCATGGTAGACCTTCATCCCTCTGAAACTGTTAGCACAAATAAACTCTTCTATTAGTTGGCTTGGTCATAGTGTTTTGTCACAGCAACAGAAAATACCCAAAACACTTGTAAATGGACCAAACACTGTTCTAGAACTTTGTATGACTTCAGCTCATTCCTACAATGCTCCTGGCAGGTATGAGCATTATCCTTAATTTAAAGATAAGAAAACTGAGACTTTGAAAAATCAAATAAATTGTCAAAGGTCTTCTAAGTGGCAGAGTTGAGACAGGCCTGTTTCGGCAAGGGCGACCCCACAGCGAACATGGACTATTGTCTCCGAGATATGCAAGGCCTTCCAGGCATTGAGCATTGTCAGGGTTCACCAGAGACTAGCCCTGGGTGTCTTTCTCTGCAGGAATAAGTGGCTAGCCAAACTTCACACATTCCTGGGACAGACAAGGGGATGTTCCCCCTTTACTGCCACTCATGTACCCCACATAACAGCCTCTACTTAAGCCTTCCTTGAAGCGGCTCAGCCCTCTCCTCTTCCACGAGGCTGTCCAACCACACTCTGTGCCATACCCTTCTCCCTCCTCTCAAACCAGGGGATTTCCCACAGGATGCCCACCACCATCAGCACCTCTGGTAAGGATTCTATCACCCAACTAGACAGTCAATTCCCACAAAATCGGCCACCATGTACATACTTTGTGTTCTTAGATATAGCACAGTGCGTAGCATCTAGTAAACAGTAATGACTGTGTTTGGGCCGGGCAGTGGTGGCACGCGCCTTTAATCCCAGCACTCTGGAGACAGAGGCAGGTGGTGTCTTGAAAAACCAATAAATAAGCAAATAAATATTACTGTGTTTGATTTGATGAAAGTTTTGCTTGCTGTTTGTTTTCAGAAGGCAAGGGCAGTACCTTACAAAACTCCCCCCAACCAACCTCTTGTCTTACTTTGCTTTCTATTGCTATGAGAAAGATCATGGCCAAAAGCAACTTGGGAAGGAAAGGATTTATTTTGGTTTATATGTCCTGATCACGGTCTATCTTTAAGGGAAGTCGGGGCAGGAACCTGGAAGCAGAAACTGATGCAGAGGCCATGGAGAGATGATGCTTACTGGCTTGCACCCCATGGTTTGCTCAGCCTGCTTTCTTACACAGCCCAGGACCACCTGCTCTTTAGTGGGCTGTATCTGCCCACATCTATTGTTAATCAAGAAAATGCCCCACAGACTTGCCTATATTTTCTTAGTTGAAATTCCCTCTTCTCACATGACCCTGGCTTTTGTCACGTTGATATAAAACTAACCAGAACACTCCCATAACCACTTATGCACTGTACATGGGTATTGACACTCATCTCCCAGCACCTTCTGGGAAGACCTCAGCCTTCATTCCAAATGTCATGGTTCAGAAAAGCATTAAAGAAACTCTGGCAGGCGGGAAATATCCAAAGAAAGAGTGTGAGGGTGCTATGGGGCAGGCCTCTGGTGCTCCAACTTGAGCACAGTCTTGGCCACCTTTGTGGAGAAGCACCGTTTTTTTCCTTCCTTGGAAGAAATTCACAGTACAATAAACCCTGCATGTGCAGTGGCCTGCACTCACCTGAACACATCATTCCAATACTCCTTCACATAGGACACCTGATGGAAAGGGATGTCTAAGATCTGACAAACTTTATAGGCATCTTCACAGTCCTTGTCAGCAGCACAAACACCATGTTCATCCAGCGAGTCCCAGTTCTTCATAAACACCCCTGTCACTTGGTAACCTGGAGAGAGAAGGTAGGGTAAAAAGCAGGGACTTCTGTGCCCCTCCAGCCCTGATGCCTCTGTATATATTGAATGGCAGTCCAAGTCCATGTGGCCTGGGGCCTGGCTTACACTGTAGTGTAATCCCTGCAGGCTCTTCTTCCCTTTAGAGCTCTTTGTTCTGTTAAGGCCTCCACACTGTAGCACACTGTGCATTGAAATTGTTTGTGTTCCCAAAGTAAATAGAATGAACTTTCTCCCATGTTGTGTCTCTACCTACATATCAATACAATGCTTAACTCACAGCAGATATATATAAAACACTGTTCAGATATATGCTGAATGGCTGAACAGTGAGCAGAAACTCAGATTCCAATGCAAATGTAAGCTATCATTCAGCTAGATGCCATAACACACACCTATGATTCCAGTCTTTGGGAGGCTAGGGCAGGAAGATACTGAGTTTGAAGCTAGTCCCAAGCTACATATCAAGATTCTGTTAAAACAAAAAAATCAGGGCTAGAGAGATAGCTCTAAGGTTAAGAGCATTTGCTGACTCTCCAGAGGACACAGGTTCAATTCCTAGTACCCATATGGCAGGCACAGGCACCTGTGTGTAAGTCCAGTTTCAGGAGCTCTGATGCCTCCTTCTGGCCTGCCTTAATACCTACCAAGCTCACACATGGTGCACAGACATGCATGCAGGCAAAACATCCATACGCACAAAATTAAAAATATTTTTAATCACCAGCCAGTTGTTTTTAAAGTAAACTCATTTTAAAAGTTACCCAGTTACCACCTAAGACTTTTACATTCTAAGCCATCAACTATAAAGACAAATTAAATTATTAGACATCTTATCAGGCTGAGGGTGTAGCGCAGGGGAAAAGCTCAGACTTAGCATGCGTGAAGCCCTGGGTTCAATCCTCGACACCAAAAATGAAAACTAAGGTGCTGGATATTCCATAAGGGCTCTACCACCCACATATTTTATGATCCATCTTCTCCTTCTCTACTGTGATAAACATCCAACCAAATATCACATAGGACAGCACTGGTTCACCAGCATCTCAGAAAACTCACAGATGCTCAACCTGCATCAAAACCCTGTTTCTCCTGAATAAGCTGAATGTAAAAAAAGACAGCAGCTGTATTAAAAGCCTCAAGTAGCACGTCCCCCACCCCACCCCCAAAAATTCCAGGGATTTTGCTGACAAATCTTTTGACAAATGAAATGCCATGCTCATTAAGGTCATACACATCCCAATATGGGATGAGGCCCTCTTTTGCATCTGGAAGCACCTGACTCTGCTTTACCACAGAGATTAACCATGCTGGGCTCAGCTCTTGAGCTAGTCTTGCACTGAACTGACTAAAGCAGAAGACTCCTCGAGGGCAGAGGTGGCAATAATCCAATCCTATATCCCCAGAGCCAGTACAATGCCCAGTTCACAAGGAGAGCTAAAAACCGGCAAGCTTATAGAACGAACAGACTACACAGAGCTTTAGAACCTCACTATTCCCATGCCATATCTGCTTGGTCAACTGTCTCACAAAGAGACATGACCCACATACAGGGGGGCAGGCACTCCAGGAGGGGTCAGCTTTCTAGGGAGTGCATGACAGAACATCACCTCCAAGAGCCCTCGATGCCAAAATGAGAGGATAATGCTTTCCCCCTGATATGTCCATCAGTTTCTTCCATGGGGGAAAAAAAATCCAAGGAAAGATAGAAACAAGAGATATTGCAACCTGGAGGGAGAGAGCCTATGTTTTGGCTAGATTTCTATATGTGTTATAAATAGCACAATCAAAAGCAACTTGGAGAGGAAAGGGTTTATTTTGCCATCATCAAGGGAAACTAAGGCAGGAACTCTGTAGCATGAATCTTAAAGAATCTTATTAATAAAATCAAACCTGGAGCCAGGTATTGGGGTGAACACTGGAAGATCAGAGAAGCAGAACAAGCCCCAGCTACCTCACCTTGCCAATTCCTCAGCTGATCCTGTTTCCTCAGACTGGAAGCTTCTGAGTCCTCATCCAAATGGATCTCAGCTGAACTGTTGCTCAAAATCCTAAATGCTTAACCAGCCAAATGCTTCTAGTTTCTGGTCCTCACCCCTTATATACCTTTCTGCTTTCTACCATCACTTCCTGGGATTAAAGGCGTGTGTCACCATGCCTGGCTGTTTCCAATGTGGCCTTGAACTCACAGAGATCCAGAGGGATTTCTGCCTCTGGAATGCTAGGATTAAAGGCGTGTGTGCCACCATTTTCTAGCCTCTGTACCTAGTGGCTGTTCTGTTCTCTGACCCCAGATAAGTTTATTAGGGTGCATAATATTTTGGGGAACACAATACCACCACAGAACTCAGGTCAGTAACCTAGAGGCAGAGACTGAAGCAGAGGCCATGGAGGAGCACTGCTTACTGGCTAGTTCCCCATGGCTTGCTCAGCCTGCTTTCCTATACAACCCAGGACCACCTGCCCAGGGGTGGCGTTATTCATAACGGGAAGAGCCCTCCTACATCAATCATTAATCAAGAAAATGCCCCACAGTCTAGCCTATAGGCCAGTGTGATGGAGGCATTTTCTGAGTTCCCTCTTCCCAGAGGGCCCCAGCATGTGTCAAGTTGACATAAATATTACCAACAGGGCTTAGCTTCCTTAAGTAGTAAAATGATAAATCTGGGAGAGCACAGAACCTACTGCATCTCCCAAAGCATCGAGTCTATAGTCCTCATTGGAAACCTTCAAAGACTCACAGCTGCCAACTCAACATGACCCCAAATTCCCTAATACCATGTCAGCTTCAATACCTACATCCTACCCTGGCCAGACCGTCTCCTGACTCCTGCCTGTGTTACTGACTCTGCCTGAGCAGCCAGCCCCGTATAGTGAACTCCTACTGAGCTTCAGTCTCGCCTCAAGCACCTCTGCCTCTAGGCATAGCTTCCCCTTTCCCACACAGTACACACGTGTATGCTGTGCCCATCCTCTCTGGCATCTCTTTATTATACCTCTGATGGCAGCTGTGATTATAATATAAAAGAATTGCTCGTGCTTTCCAAACTATCTCACATTGCATGGCTAACCCTTTCAATACATACTATATCATTTAATCTCTCCAGTCACCCCAAATTTGGGGTCATCCCACTTTACAGTGGGGTGCTTAATTAACTGGCTCAAATTCAGGCTCCTTGCCCGCGCCTCAGGGAAGGTGATCCCTGGCGGAGGCTCCATAAACAGTCACGTGAAAGCAGAATGAGGTTGAAATAAGGTGGGGCCACACAGCAGGAGGAATTTAGATGGGCAGTTGGTATCAGATCCAGACCCTAAGGTCCTGTAGGGCTATGTTTAGAAGTCAGGAAGAGCCGGGGCAGTGGTGGCGCACGCCTTTAAACTCGGGCACTCGGGAGGCAGAGCCAGGTGGATCTCTGTGGAGTTCGAGGCCAGCCTGGGCTACAGAGTGAATTCCAGGAAAGGTGCAAAACTACACGGAGAAACCCTGTCTCGAAGAAACCAAAAAGAAAAATACAAAAACAAAACAAAAAAATCAGGAAGAAAGGGTGGCCGTTTAGAGGAAAGTTTGTTATCCAACGAAGGGGGAACACATGAATGATTTAATCGGCAAGCAGCTGGCCATCCTCAAGTGGAGGCCCGCGGAGTCTGCAGAGGCCAGGCCTACGGCCTGGATGAGCCCAGTTCCTGACCCCAGTGAGGAACCCTGGCCTCACCTCTCCGCCGCAACAGCAGCGCAGCCACCGCGCTGTCCACGCCGCCAGACAGGGCGCACACGACGTGCCGCAGCGCCGACATCTGCCCGCACGGCAACTCCTACCAGCAGCCTTCTGGCCGCGTCTACGCTACGCCGGAAGTCCCGGCCTCCGGGGCGTCCTCACTCTTCACCCGGCCGGAAACGTGCTCCGCCCACCCGGCGTTCTGCCGGCCTTCTGGTTCCGCGCCGCCGATTGGCTGAGATGTGCTAGGCGGGTCTTGTCCCGGAGAGGTCAGCGATGAACTGGACGGGTCGGGCTTCCCAGCTATTACCCGCTGCTCCTGCTCCGCCTTTTCTTCTGTTCCTAACTGTGTTTCACCTGTTAGCTGCACCAGGAACAGCAGGAGCTCTAACAGCCTGGCTTGAGGTCCCAAGGGCGAGGACACCGTCTTGTGTCTGCAGCACGGTTACCAGCTAGAGGGACTGAACTGTCATCACGTTCCTACTGAATTCTAGACAAACTAGATGTCCTGAGAGCTGACAGCGGGTCCTCCTGGAGCTGCTGCAGGCCGGGAGGGTGCAGAGGCCAGTGGACAGAATAGAGTGGACTGTTACTCAGTAAGGTTTTCCTAGATGCTCAGTCAGCGTGTTGGAGTAGGCGATGGGAGCATGGTTAGGAGGCCCAGGGAGCTGGGAAGGGTGGGCCACAGCGGATAGGAGCGTTTGGAGTCCAACCTGGCGCTGTGGCCATGGAAATACCACGACTTAAGTAAGAGTGCACTTGGGGGACAGAGACAGGCGATCTCTGAGTTTGAGGCCAGCCTGGTCTACAGCTTGAGAGTTCCAGGACAGCCAAGGCCACACGGAAAAACCGTATCTCGGAAAAATAAAAATGTGTGTGTGTGTGTCATAGGCCATTCTCGGAGGATGAACAGCACTCTGCAGGTCAGCTCTGGTGAGTAGATGCCTTTGCGACCTCCGACTGGAGCTGTGGCTCTTTCTGAATTCGGTGTGTGGAACCTGGCACCTGACAGATGGTGGGTGGCTGCTGGAAGAAGCTATATAAATGTACTGGACCTAAAAACTGAAGAGGGGGGCAGGGTATGAGCAAAGAAAGCCAAGTAGGAGACTTGGGCAGGCAAGAGGACAAGGGGTCATGTCCTTGGAGTATCCCAGCCAAGGATAACACACACAGGTCAGCCTAGAGGACCGGCACCTTCCTCCTTGAGCGTGGGCATTTAATATAGCAAGTCTCACTTTCCCTGCCAGAGCCCG